CACTCTCCTCTAGCACACATCGGACATCTACAGAAATGAAGAAGAGCTAAAGTGTAAGAAGGTGCTGGAAGTGCAGAAGAAGAATGAGTGACAGATCGGAAAGTCAGAGCCTGGAAGGTTTGCATTGAGGGGTAATGAAAAGGGGATGGGGTGGATTGGAAGTCAGATGGTTTACCAACTTTCTCTCACCCCACATTGTTGATATAAAAGGAAAGTCTGACCCTTAGTTTGGAGAAGGCAATGGCACCCCACTCTAGTACTCTTGCTTGGAGAATCCCATAGACAGAGGAGCCTGGTGGGCTGCAGTCCATGGGGTCGCTGGGAGTCGGACACGACTGAGTGACTTCACTTTCACTTTTCACTTTCACGCATTGGAGAAGGAAATGGCAACCCACTCCAGTGTTCTTGCCTAGAGAATCCCAGGGACGGGGGAGACTGGTGGGCTGCTGTCTTGGGGTCACACAGAGTCAGACACGACTGAAGCAACTTAGCAGCAGCAGCAGACCCTTAGTTAGAAGCGCAACACAAACTTTCAAGTACTTTGAAGGCATTTTTAAGTGTTACTTCTATGTACCAGATTGAACCACATAAAACTGCCATTTTTTGGTAGAATGAGGATTGGCTATTGGCGTTTTCCTATGGCCCAACAAAACACAAAGTGAGAATTGAGCTTTTCTGTTTTTTGTTTTTTAATTCACCTTCTTCAAAAAGATAAGTGTTAGTAGACCAGAATTCAACATTCTATCAAAAACATCTGTGCCAAAGTCTTCCTACATTTATTTACTGTCTTACACACTAGAGGTTGTCTCAGGCTTTGTTAATGACACATTCTCAGGCAAGAAGTAGATGTTGGATTATTTCAAAGACACCATTTGGCTCCTTGAAGCATCCTTTAAAAAGGCAGTTAGTGTCCTAAAGCATGTGGGTACTGAACGTGTGGTCTCATCTGTAGTGAGAGTCATCACCAGGAAATACTTTCCTGGGTTTGGGTGCTTTCTATAGCACATGAGGTGTCCTGACATCAAAATAACTTTCTAAAAGTTTGTTCACCTCTCTGTTCAAAACTCTATAATGCCCTCTGTTTCTGGTTTCTGTTTCACTGTTGAATTACACTTTTTCAGGAAATCTCATAAACTGACACAGTAGTTCCAGAAATTAACATTATAGAAAAAATTAGTTTATTCTCACTGCAAAGTTTATTTTCCACATTTATAATTGACTAATTCCTGCTGTAACACAGATCCTCCTGGCTTAACCAACTTTTACTCTTTGTGATTGGTTGTTGGTCTAGCAGCCAACAAAGGCTCACCCTGGTGTCATCTTTAGCCCCTTGCATGCCCAGAGACAATTGCTATGTAGCTACCTTCTCCCAAACCTGCGTTATTGACTAACATGAAATTGACAAGTCACTTAGACTTGTTCTGTGTGGATACGTCTCCCACCACTCAGATGAGAGTTGTTTTTATGCACTAAATGCAGTAGTGTGTCAGCAGATTTGGAAAACTCAGCAGTGGCCACAGGACTGGAAAAGGTCAGTTTTCATTCCAATCCCAAAGAAAGGCAATGCCAAAGAATGCTCAAACTACCACACAATTGCACTCATCTCACACGCTAGTAAAGTAATGCTCAAAATTCTCCAAGCCAGGCTTCAGCAATACATGAACCGTGAACTTCAGATGTTCAAGCTGGTTTTAGAACCAGAGATCAAATTACCAACATCTGCTGGATCATTGAAAAAGCGAGAGAGTTCCAGAAAAACATCTATTTCTCCTTTATTGACTATGCCAAAGCCTTTGACTGTGTGAATCACAGTAAACTGGAAAATTCTGAAAGACATGGGAATACCAGACCACCTCACCTGCCTCTTGAGAAATCTGTATGCAGGTCAGGAAGCAACAGTTAGAAGTGGACATGGAACAACAGACTGGTTCCAAATAGGAAAAGGAGTACGTCAGGGCTGTATACTGTCATCCTGCTTATTTAACTTCTTTGCAGAGTACATCATGAGAAACGCTTGGCTGGAAGAAGCACAAGCTGGAATCAGGATTGCCGGGAAAAATATCAAATCACCTCAGATATGCAGATGGCACCACCCTTATGGCAGAAATTGAAGAGGAACCAGAGACTCTTGATGAAAGTGAAAGAGGAGAGTGAAAAAGTTGGCTTAAAGCTCAACATTCAGACAACTAAGATCATGGCATCTGGTCCCATCACTTCATGGCAGATAGATAGGGAAACAGTGGAAACAGTGTCAGACTTAGTTTTTTGGGGCTCCAAAATCACTGCAGATGGTGATTGCAGCCATGAAATAAAAAGACACTCCTTGGAAGGAAAGTTATGACCAACCTAGATAGCATATTAAAAAGCAGAGACACTACTTTGCCAACAAAGGTCCGTCTAGTCAGGCTATGGTTTTTCCAGTATTCATGTATGGATGTGAGAGTTGGACTGTAAAGAAAGCTGAGCACCGAAAAATTGATGCTTTTGAATTGTGGTGTTGGAGAAGACTCTTGAGAGTCCCTTGGACTGCAAGGAGATCCAACCAGTCCATCCTCAAGGAGATCAGCCCTGGGTGTTCATTGGAAGGACTGATGCTGAAGCTGAAACTCCAGTACTTTGGCCATCTGATGTGAAGAGCTGACTCATTGGAAAAGACCCTGATGGTGGGAAATATTGAGGGCAGGAGGCGAAGGGGACGAAAGAGGATGAGATGGTTGGATGGCATCACTGACACAATGGACATGAGTTTTAGTAAACTCCAGGAGTTTGTGACAGATAGGGAGGCCTGGCATTCATGGGGTCGCAAGGAATAGGACATGACCGAGCACCTGAACTGAACTGAATTGTACCATAATTGGTTAAAAGCAATGTGATGGGGTGATGGGAACAAGGTGGCACAAAGTTAGTGTTCATGGAAGCTTTAAAGGCTAAAGGCTCCCTGATGTTCCTTTCAGTCTTGTGACAGCCAAGCTGTTGCAGCCGCTAGTGTGATGCCGTGGGTCAGGTGAAGCTTCCTTACGCCAGGGGCCACCTTTTCCAATACCATTCTACCTCAGTGTTTTCAAGTCTCACTCTCATTTGTTGTTCAGTTCTAAACTTTACTGAGCACTGTTGATTATTTTTGATAGGGAATACAGATAGCACTTGTAGTTTGTGGCAGTTTGGGAAGTCTTAGAGCTTCTCAGGGAGTAGAGGTATTAGTACTTTCTTTTTAACCTAATTACCAAAGTAGGAACAGATGTAAGTTCTGGAATAAATTTGTAAGGTCATTTTTACTGGGATCTAGGTTTAGCTTGGAGTTTTCTTAAAAAAGCAGTCATATTAGGTAGGTAGGTTTGTTTTTTACTTAATTCACAGCCATACCCTGTAATATTTCAGAATCCAGGGCTGAGTGGGTCTAAATTTATTTCATTTCCTTAGAAGCGGTTTCTTTAATCTTATTTGTGCATAGGCTTTTTAAGGACATTTTCAAAGAAACACTTGCCAAAAAATTTAATTAGCATTAGTACCATTCATTGAGGACTTCCGCGGTGTCTCATGGTAAAGAATTCTCCTGCCAGTGCAGAATCAGACATAACTGAGCGACTGAGCACATACACATGTACACACTCACACACACGAATTAACACATAACCAGTCCCCAGAGAAGTGGTAGTGTTTCCCTTTGAAGACTTCATGTGTATCCTCTTAGTCATAGTGAATCCTTGATAGGAGTCATAAGTAGATGTGCTTACCTCTTCAGTCAAATGTCTCACTTTGTAAACATATTATTTCATTTTTTTCTCCTCTCTGTGCATCCTCAGTTGCTCAGTCATGCCTGACTCTTTGCGACCCTATGGATTGTAGCCCACCAGCCTCCTCTGTCCATGAAATTTTGCAGGCAAAAATACTGGAGTGGGTTACCATTTCCTCCTCCAGAAGATTTTCCCAACCCAGGGATCGAACCCAAGTCTCGTGTCTCCTGCATGGGCAGCCGGATTCTTTACCAATGAGCTACCTGGGCAGCCTTGGCAAATAACAGGCCCTCGGATACTTGTAAAACGAGTGCTGTTTCCTATACGATAGAATAGAGATGTTCAGGAGTTAGGGAAGTTCCAGTGTCACATAAATAGTCTAAAGCAAAGCTGCACGTAGAGCCCCCAGTTAAATGTAGATACAGTGACCAAAGTAGCGGTTACCAGAAAGGAGGTAGGGGTGGCGAGGTTGAATCAACCGTGTAGTGACTGGTGGAGACTAAATTGGTAGTGAGCACGCTATGGGGTATACAGAACATAGAAATGCAGTGGACATGTGAAACTTAAATTATGAACCAATGTACCTCGATAACAAATCTAAAAAAGAACGATTATTTGTATCTTTGTATACTACATCACACACACGCATGCACACACATACCACCAGTTAAAACCTTCCTTTAATTAGCCTGCCATCCTGTCTGTTTAGTTAAAATATTGATGCAACCTGTATTTGGTCACATAGCCGTATAGGTATGTTATCAGCTGTTTTGTTATTGAGGGTCTCCAGCTACTGCTAATGTTTTTTTTCCAGAGCTTCATGTTGTCAGCCCAGTATTTTTGGAAAATTACTTTTAAAGAGTATTGTATTTATGGTACTAAAACTTACAGTAAGGTCATATGTTAACTCTGATTATATTTGAGTTTATTGAGTTTATTTGAGTATATTGAGTTTGATACAGGTTTGATCCATGGGTTGGGAAGATCCCCTGGAGAAGGGCATGGCGATCCACCCCAGTATTCTTACCTGGAGAATCCCATGGACAGAGGAGGCTGGCGGGCTACGGTCCATAGGGTTGCACAGAGTCGGACACGACTGAAGAGTGTTGGCACACGTATCTCTGTTTATGTGTCTGTGATAGAGAAGATCCTGTGCTGTTTAAACAACAGGACTCCCTAGGAATGATGGAGAAATAACAGTTCCAGATAGGAGTGATTATTAATAACCTAACCCAAGTCTCAACAAATTTAAACGAAGCACATCAGTACCATCCCCATATTGTTAGAAGCTTCCTCCTTGGTGTTAGCAACCTGTGTAGCAAATGTCACTTCTCTTCTAGAATAGCAAGTGCATTTGGCCTGTTTCTTTTGTAAGAATTTAGCTCAGAAACCACACCAGCTTCTGCTGTGAGAAATGGTGAGATACCTGTAGTCATTCCTACAGCAAGCTTGTGAATGAAGACTTTAGGGCCGTTCAAAAATAACTTTATTGGTATGTTGCACACACTAGTTTTTTGTTGTTGTACACTTTGTTATTTTCATATATAGTAACAAATCTGCCAAAATGTACTGTAAAATCTATTCTTCAGGTATTCCTGTGCCTTTTTTTTTTTTTTTAATTTTTAAATGACAAATGCATGGTGAAGCTGCAGAAACTTACAGAGAAGATTTTTTCAATTGTCAACAGGTGCCAGAATTGTATTTGTGTTTTTGAAAGGAGTGCAGAACACCAGAGATATTATATAAAATAGAGGACCCACAAGGCAAACCAAATTAGATTTTGCTGACCTTTTGCATATAGACATGTATTTGAGTGGTAAGAGACAATTTAGAAGAGTAACAGCAAGTTATTTAAGCATGAACATTACTTTGAAATGACCTGATACATCCAGCTCTTGAAAATTTTTCCTGTATACATCCTCCAGCAAAAGAATATTTTACATCAGGTGGATGCAGTATGGGTTCCATTAATAATTCACATCTGCAGAGAACCACTGTCAACCACATCATCTTTGAATGACAGTGTTACAATGCCTATGTATTAAACTAGGGAATTTTAACCATTATATTGCCCTGTCAAGTGGACCAGCAGAGTGGAAGCTAGGATATGAAATGATATGTTTTATTATAAAACATTGATTAGTAAACTAGACAATATTAAGATAAAATTTGGAGAAGATTGGGACTTTTTTTAAATTGACCTTAGATTTGTTTTTAATAGACTAGTTTCTAATATACTTTCCTTAAGTTTGCAGAAAAATCAAGTAGAAGGTACAAAGTTTCCATATACCTCCTTATCCTCAACAATTTGCTCTGTTACTAACGTCTTCATTACTGTGCTGTATTAAAGCTGATTAGCCAATACTGATACTTTAACTGAAATACACTCTGTGTTGTATGTTCTCTGGGTTTTGACGGATGTATGAGGTCATGTATTGATCATTATACTATCATACAGAATAGCTTCACTGCCCTAAACATCCTCTGGCTCTGCCTGTTCTTCATCCCTTCCTCCTCTTCAAACTCTTGGCAACCACTGTTCTTTTTACTGTTTCTCTAGTTTTGTCTTTGAAATTTGGAATCACAGAGTATGTAGCCTTTTCACAGTGGCTTCTTTCACTTAATAATTATTTCAGGTCCCTTCATGCCTTTTTGTGGCTTGATAGCTTATTTCTTTTCAGCAATGATTTAGTACCCCATTTTCTGGATACACCACACTTGGTTTTCCCGTGCACTATTGAAGGGCATCACGATTGCTTCCAAGTGCTGGCAGTTTTGAATGAACTTGCTGCGAACACTCAGAAGCAGGTTCTGCGTAGATACAAGTCTCCAACCTGTTGGGTAGATACCAAACAGCTCAGTTGCTGGGTAGTATGGTGAGACTAGGTTTACTTTTGTAAGAAACTGCCAGACTGTCATCCACAGTGGCTGTATCATTTTGCGTTCTCATCAGCAGTGAATTGCGAGTTCTGTTGCTCCACATCCTCGCCAGCAATTAGTCCATGTTCAGTGTTTATTTTTTAGCCGTTCTGATAGGTGTGCAGTAGTATCTCACTGTTGTTTTAATTTGCATTTCCCTGATATCATACAGAGTTAAGCATCTTTTCATAGGCTTATTCGCCATCTGTGTATCTTCTTTGGTGAGGTGTCTGTTCAGCTCTTTTGCCAGATTTTTAATTGGGTTGTTACTGTAGAGTTTTAAGAGTTCTTTGTATATTTTGGATACTAGCCTCTTCTCAGATACATGTTTTGCAAAGATTTGTCTCCCAGTCTGGCTGATCTTTTTCATTCTCTTAAGCAAATTATATTTTCTTTATGACTGCAGTTCCTATCAGCCATGGAAATGGAAAGAACTAGTAACATTAAAAGAAGGGGGAAACACTATTCCTAAGTTGTTTGAATAGTCTTCAAGCCAGTTGCAATTATTTAGCTGACCTATTAATAAAACAAGTATAGTGCTTGAACCTGAAATTCTTTTTATTTAGTCATCGTAAAACATAGTAGCGAAGCTTGGTGATTGGGGGCATTAGATAACTGATGATTGTGTGTCTGATCACTTTCTTTGCTCTCTTATATGGATTTAGTGGACTTGTAATATTTTAATATGATGCTGCATAAAATATCCCCAGTACTCTGAAGTTTGGACCTTATACCGTATTGATATTGAGAACATAAAATTAAAACAATAAATGCACACTGGCCCAACAGTCTCTATCTGTAGTGTATTTTAAATAATAAAGAACTCAAAAACATACAGTTCTTGGAAACCAGGGCTAAATGAAATGTGAAAGGCTCTCCCATTTTGGCTCCTTTAACACTTAACCAATAAGCTATTACTTTCTGACCTTTAGAAATCATTTGATTGACCATAACTGCTATGTGGTATGTGTATGTATATACATAAACACACGCACGTGCGCGCGCTCAGTCACCTCAGTCCTGTCTGAGTCTTTGCGACCCCATGGACTGTAGCCTGCCAGGCTCCTCTATCCATGGGATTCTCCAGGCAAGAATACTGGAGTGGGTTGCCATGCCCTCCTCCAGGGGATCTTCCCCATCTAGGGATCAAACCTGTGTCTCCTGCATTGGAGGCAGATTCTTTACCACTGATCCACTGGGGAAGCCATATTTATACACACATACACATATTAAATTTATAAGGAAAAATATAATATCAGTAGACAGTATCATTCCAATATAAGAGATGCGGTTTAACATTCTTAACATGAGTATTGAACTTACAGGATTTTTCCCCTACATAGACCTGCTTTTAAAAATGAAGTTTTAGGGAAATGATAATATAGTAGAAAACTATTTACATGTATGATTGTTTCAAACTGCAAACTTGGGTTCCCACATGGCTGGGTGTTGGCTTCCTTTCCTAAGGTGATCAGCTAGGCCTTCATAATCTACTCTGTTACTCGGCCATTTTCATAGCAGAATACTTTGTTTTGGTTTTTTAATACTCTCAGCATGGCAGAATCAAGTTCCATAAAGGGCATTTGAGAAACAAACAACCTTTTTTGTAAAGGAAGTGAATGTCACAAAAACCAAGTGTATTCTCTTTTTTGCTTAGTAGAACTCCATTTATAAATCATAGGGTACAAAATTTTTATGCCTAGAGCCTATTACCATTTTTAAATGCTGTTAGTAAGCACACTGTGCCGTATTCATTTCAGAGTTCTTTTATGTTGCACAACTGCCTTTTTTTTTTTTCATTTATTTTTATTAGTTGGAGGCTAATTACTTTACAGTATTGTAGTGGTTTTTGTCATACATTGACATGAATCAGCCATGGATTTACAAGTATTCCCCATCCCGATCCCCCCTCCCACCTCCCTCTCCACCTGATTCCTCTGGGTCTTCCCAGTGCACCAGGCCTGAACACTTGTCTCATGCATCCAGCCTGGGCTGGTGATCTGTTTACCCCTGGATAATATACATGTTTCAATGCTATTCTCTCGAAACATCCCACCCTCGCCTTCTCCCACAGAGTCCAAAATTCTGTTCTGTACATCTGTTTGGAACGTTAGTTTAAAATGTCGTCACAGCTCTATAGAATAATTTTCCAGAGTTTAATGGAGAGTGGTTACTTGGTCAGTTAAGGTCATTTCTGTGAACTAAACTTCAACATGGATTTAGGTAAAATCTTAACAGGAGAACTCTGTCTTTGATGGCAGCAGCCTTCCTGGTGATGACTTTGTCTGCATAACTTGTCCCCTGAGCCTCTTAGCTTGACTAAGGCCTCCTTGCTCTCCAAGGCCAACTCTCAGCTATCATCCCAGGACCTCCCTTCACCATCCTCCCAGAATTCCTTTGATATCACTCTCTGTGTTAAAAGAGTTCCCATCTGCTGCACTCCATGCTTAATGTTTTTTCTGGGGTGGTGTGATGCACATTCTTTTAATAGTAAATAGCATAGGTCAAATAAACTGTGGAAAATTCTGAAAGAGATGGGAATACCAGACCACCTGACCTGCCTCTTGAGAAATCTGTATGCAGGTCAGGAAGCAACAGTTAGAAGTGGACATGGAACAACAGACTGGTTCCAAATAGGAAAAGGAGTACGTCAAGGCTGTATATTGTCACCCTGCTTATTTAACTTCTATGCAGAGTACATCATGAGAAATGCTGGGCTGGAAGAAGCACAAGCTGGAATCAAGATTGCCGGGAGAAATATAAATAACCTCAGATATGCAGATGACACCACCCTTATGGCAGAAAGTGAAGAGGAACTAAAAAGCCTCTTGATGAAAGTGAAAGAGGAGAGTGAAAAAGTTGGCTTAAAGCTCAGCATTCAGACAACTAAGATCATGGCATCTGGTCCCATCACTTCATGGAAAATAGGTGGGGAAACAGTGTCAGACTTTATTTTTTTGGGCTCCAGAGTCACTGCAGATGGTGATTGCAGCCAAGAAATTAAAAGACGCTTACTCCTTGGAAGGAAAGTTATGCCCGACCTAGATAGCATATTAAAAAGCAGAGACATTACTTTGTCAACAAAGGTCCATCTAGTCAAGACTATGGTTTTTCCAGTGGTCATGTATGGATGTGAGGGTTGGACTGTGAAGAAAGCTGAGTGCCGAAGAATTGATGCTTTTGAAGTGTGGTGTTGGCAAAGACTCTTGCGAGTCCCTTGGACTGCAAGGAGATCCAACCGGTCCATCCTGAAGGAGATCAGTCCTGGGTGTTCATTGGAAGGACTGATGCTGAAGCTGAAACTCCCAATGCTTTGGCCACCTGATGTGAAGAGCTGACTCATTGGAAAAGACCCTGATGCTGGGAGGGATTGGGGGCAGG